GTCCCAAACATGAAAAGCCCTTCTTCTCTTCTAAAACAGAGTCATCTTGTGAAGTTCCAGATTTCAATTTTTTTTTTCAAATTCCGACCCCCAACTTTCAAAAGTCCCTGCAGGTGGAAATCTAGCAAATCAGGGGAGCAACTGAACCTTTCTCCCTGACAAGCTACTTTTCTACGGGAAGGGAGTTTGACATTTTCATTTTTCTGGGATTTGTACAGGTCATTTAATAATTAAAAAAATTAAATCTTGGCATACATAGGTGTGGAAAAATGGAAATTTTATTTGACAAACGCATACAAATAGGAGCCACGCTGGACCGTTAAAACTATATACCCTGAGACGAAGTAACATTTTTTTCCCTTATGCAAACTTTTAAAAGTGGATAAATAGTATTCTCCTATCTAGTATACAGTTTCACTGTGAGAGATACTATGTTATATCTTTTTACTGTATTAAACATTTGTTTGAGTTCTAGTCTGCCTGTCCTGGCAGAATGAGTGTCAAGGCAGCTTGTAATTAAATTAAACAATTACAATTAACAGATTATTTGTTTTAATTTGAAAGCATACTAATAAAAGAACATACAGCACCTGCCTGAAGTTTATTTGATGTATAAATAAATGTAACATGTAAGACTTTGCAAAGTCTTGTTGTTTTCATTTTTTTAAAAAAAATAACAGTACTTGAGGGGAAAAATTGAAAAGAAAGAGCAAATCATCCAAAGGTTTCAGGTTACTCTAAGCTTTGCATGTTCTAGATCAGGAGGAGAAAACCTAGAACTCTTCGGATGAGGACTGGGGAACTCATGGTCTTCCCATACTCCACAAATTACTGGGGTGAATGGGATTTGGAATAGAAAAGGGGCCAGTGTTTCCTTTGGCTCTAGATAGTTTGGGCCTAACACTCCCCTTAGCCTCAGGCCCTCCTGCTGTGCTCACTGGGGCTGATGGAGGTTGTAGTCCATTGCAAATTGGAAGAGACTGGGTTCCCTGCTTTGACACAGCACCGGCCCCTATGTTACTCCAACAAGGATTCCACAACCCATCCTCCACCATCTCTCTCTCTCTCTCTGTCTGCCCCATTTAAACTCCTCATTTCCGACAGCCTCCTTAGGGGCAGGATGAGGGCCTAAGCAGAACGGCGGGCCGAGAAGGAATGCCTCACCCCCACCCATTTGCTCGGGTCAAGATTTATCCATCATCCTCTCCTCCCTGCTCTTTCGTCCCTCAGCTCAGAGGCATTACTTTCTTCTTAACTACAGTTCCCGTCTGGCCTGGCTGGGGGGGAAAGAGAATTCTGGGAGTTGTAGTCCCGGAAAACAGAACTGGTCCAAAATCCAGGTTCTCCAGCAAGCCTGGGAGAACCTGGATTCTCCTGGATCCTCCAGGAACCTCCTCTCCTCTCCGAACCAGATCCCGCAAGGCCCTCCGTGGCCAGGCCTAGCTTTCTTGCCTCTTCCTCGGCTACCGCGGAACACCGTTCCCCCTCGAGAAGGCCACCCGCGAAAACTTCCTCACCCCGAAGCCCCCAAACA